ACTACTTACGAGTGAGTCGGGAGGAACCTGCTGAACTTCTTTCTTTGAGTGCAAACAGAAAAATAATTTTTAAAAGATCAGATGTTTTAATTCAATTTTCATTTATTTAAACAATTTTATTGGCTAACTACGAATATAATAAAATTTTACAAATTAACAATATTTCATAAGTGCGTAAGCATTTCGATGATTGAATCTTATATTACCAAATTTTCGTCTTCAAAACATTTTTGTCTTCGAAGGACATGACATTTTTGCCCTCCTAATTGTGTCAAACATTTCTTAGTATTATTATGTTGAATTAGTTTATCCCGAGAGTCTGCTTTTACTTCGTATATTTCCTCTTAAATCCAACCCCATAAAAAATTATCCAATACTGTAAGGCATTTAAGATTTTAGAGGTCGACTAATTGGACCATTTCAACGATCTATAAACTTTTTATTCTGGCGATCACTGGGACAATTAACTTATGTTCTAATCTAATCGTAAATTTTTTACAATATGTAGTAAACAAAATCATAAAGCTAATACCGAAATCCTGATACATGTTTGAAATATTGTTTATTTGTGAAATTTTATTTATTTGTAATATGCCAATAAAATTTGAACAAATGAAAATCGATACACAGGAGTTGTTTTATTATTTTCCTGTGTGAAACCCATTACTGGAGACTTTCCAGCACAACCCCAGGCACCCTGTAACATATATAAACAATCTGGTGTGTCCACTCACACGACTTTCCTACTTATTTCAGAAGTTTTTATATCTTTACATATGTCCATCAAGAAATAAACAAAAATAAAATTGAATTACATTTATTTTCCTGAAAAGATTTGGGTACGATTTATTCGATAAACTAAAGCAATGTAAACCTGTTTCAGGTAGATCAGTATAAAAATTTCAAAACCCGTTAACATTGCTGATTCTGTTAAAAGTAGAGGAAATAGTGAAGCTTGTGTGATGCGGGCAACAGATTTTCTTACTTTCAATTAGTTATCTTTTTTCTCTCATTCACCCCTTTCTGACACCAGGGTGTGAATCCGTAATCTTACATTGGAAATTTAGTAGCTGTAATTTCGGTAATAGTAGCCAGAAATGAATGGTTTTTAATACAGTTTTGTGGAGAATTTCATTATCTTTCAAAAAAAAAAAAAAAAAAAAGCAGGATAAAAATTAGGAAAGTTTCATCAAAATCGTTAGAGCCGTCTATAGAAAAACATGTTTTTCATTTATTGCGCCACGGCTATTCCGCACGAAGTATCCAATTTGTGTAACAGGCATCAATATTCAAAACCCCACAGAATTAAAAAAGAAGCTATAAAATCGGTTCAGTAGTTCTCGAGAAAATCTTGGCACAAACAGACACACCAATGTTTTCCGGACTGGAAGGGGGCTCTGAAACGTATAGATCCGTCAAAAACCGCATATCGGAAAGTTTACCCGATTGCAATACTTTCCTTACATAGTATAGATATGAAAGTAAAAAGGTGTCAACTCATTCCAGATACATACATATATATATATATATATATATATATATATATATATATATATATATATACATATATATATATATATATACTCATAAAGATGATATTAACACAAGATTTTAGGGAATATCTAAAAAGGAAAAAAGTAAAGGTGTAGATCTTGAGAAAATGTTGAACACAGGTACAAAGCCGTACTGACTTCAGTGTTTGTAAGATGATGATAGTGTTTTGGATACAAACAGAGTAAATGACAGTTCATAAACAGCCCTGCTACTAAACCCTTAGCCCTACGAAAACAATCTCCACCTCCCAACATTAGAGTAGGTATCCTTCAGGTATCCCAACATTTTACCTGCCAGCTCAGTTTCTGTCTGACTTCGGTACCTGACTTTAAGGTATATGTATCAATAAGTATACAGTTTTCATAATAATCTGGGTATGAACCGTCTATTCGTTTCTTTTTAACTATAATAGCCTCTCTAATGCGCTTTCAATGCTTAAACATACTTGTTACGTGATGTCTAGAATTATATGAGAGGTTGACAGAATGACTAACTGTAATTTCAATATTTTTGAGTGAAGTAATTTTAGTGATATTTCTAGTTCGAAAATTTATAATATCTGTACAGATAGTGTGTAAGTTGATTGCATGGTAGATGATTGGAGTGTTAAAATATAGAACCTTGAATAAATATATACATTTTCTCGCTAGAAATATTACTAAAATTAATAAGTCATTCCGTCAAGTGAGATGCACATATAACATAGATATAGTTGAAAAGAAAAATACTTACGTAGTCGATACTGTATCAGCGTCTATCTTAAGAGGTGTTGAGTAAGTTAAAATATATTTATTTTAGAAATGTATACAGATATTTTTGTCCAATATTTTCATTTCGATATTCAAATTTAACTTACGAAAACCGAAATTTTCTCTCTCCCTCCTCTTCACCCAAAAAATTAAAATGTCGACAAGGAAAGCTGACCATATATAAATAATTGAAGGAAGTTAGTCGACTGTTCTACATATCATGAGTGATAAATATACAGGACGCAGTCATTTTAAAGTTTTTATTAGTGCTGACGTTTCAACCCAAACATGTGGGTCATCATCAGGGCGTGGTTCGAGCACTGAAGATATTCAAGTACTAACCATAAGTAGAATTAGAACTTTAGTATTTGTACTTGTAAAACAGAAACTTAGTGTCAGTACTTTAGTATTTAAATTAGTACTTTAGTACTGATGTAGGACTTGAATATCTTCAGTGCTCGAACCACGCCCTGATGATGACCCACATGTTTGGGTTGAAACGTTGGTACTAATAAAAATCTTCTAATGACTGCCTCCTGAATATTTATCTCCCATGATATATAAATAAGATTATGCTTTAACTCAACATATAAAAAAATAACGTTTAACTATTTTTTTATATCCTAATACCCAATAAGTAGCCTTTTCTCTTTTTATTTGGTTTATAATGAAAATGTATTTTTTTTTTTGTTTCAGTCATTATTAATTAAACTTTGATTTTATTCATTTCTTCATGTTGAGCAATATAACTAATGTTTTTGCAAGTTCTTAGTGAAATTTGTAATAATAACTGTTTGTTTTTTATTTACTGTTTCTTCCATCCATTTCAGTGTATTATTTTTCAAGAATTTAAACAAGAAAAATCCTCAATAAACTATAATTTTATTGGTGTTAATAAATGGATACTTTTCTCTGTGATAAGCTAAATATAAATATTTGAATGTTGCTATTAAAGCCATTATAAATTTAAGACTTCAATTCAGTGTTAGTCCTGTTCTCCTTCTTTGAAAGATGAAAAACAAATAAAAATTAAAAAATATCGATATTTTTGATTGTTCAATATTAAGATCTCTTCTTAAAGATAAAATATATGTATTGTCATTGTATTTATCTTATACGTATACTGAATCATATATTTTTTAATATAAATTGAATTAACATATTGATATATTTATATAGCAAAATAAAAATATTTGATTGTTGCTATTAAAAGCCATTATAAATTTAAGATTTCAATTCAGTGTGATCCTGTTCTCTTTCTTCCAAAGATTAAAAACATTAATAAAAACAATTAAAAAATATCGATATTTTTTATTGTTCAATATTAAGAACTTTTCTCAAAGATAAAATATATCTATTTTAATTGTATTTATCTTATCCGTATATTGAACCATACATTTTTTGTATAAATTGAATTAACATTTGGATATATTTTTAAATAAATATTTTCAAACATGATATTTTGAAATACTTCAATAAACTGTTAATGTTGATTTTGTTGAAATATCATAGTTTCTATTACGTACAATATGATGGAACCCGTTGAATACAAATTGGTCATATTTGAAGTTTATCTGTTTTGCAAATGCGTAAGCCTTCCTTCACTCTCCCCTTCAAATAAAGGTAGAGGATGAAAGGTTTCTGGGTGCATTTAGTTGGTATAAGTAATGGCCATCTAGTACTTAAGCTAATTAATAATTTAGAACTGAACGACTCATTGCTCTGATTATATTATTTCGTTAATTATTTTACTCTTTTATCTTCGTCCTTTAACTTCTTTTACTTAATTATTCAAACCTCTTAATGATTCCATACTAGACCTTGAGAAGTAGACAAATATTCTTAATTGATTCAGTGCTTGCATTGTTATTTATAACAATTGATTTTTCTGGAATTCGGCTGTTTTGCACCACATTTTACATGTTATATCTTAGGCATGTTAGGCATCCACTAATATCACAGCTCTAAAGAGTGGTCAATTGCTCGAAAACAAAATTAAGGTTTTTGTTAATAAGATGAATGAAAATAAATAAATAAGGTATTATATTATATTCCATGTGATGGCTCTGTTTAGGGTCGGGCACACGTTGAACTGAATATAATCCTTTACGGTTCCATTCAATGATGCCCCCCCTCTCCTCCCGGATTTCCAGTTATTAATAGACAGACATTAACTAAGACCCCTCGCCCCAGGACACTGTTCCAGGATATAAAGAAGACATCCCCCGTCAGTTGCCGTCCCATTGGCTCCCAATAGCGAATACAAGCATGTCTCTCTCTCTTTCTCTCTCTCTCAGATGATATATATCACTCTTTGGCTCATTAGGCTCATCCCTCCTCACTCCCTCCCAGAAGTTAAGTACCCTCCAAAAAGTGACTTTACTGCCCTTTTACAACCGCCCCTCTACCCCGTTGTCCTCTGGAGTCACTTTAACTTTATATAATGAAACGCTTAATATGTTCGTCTTCATTGTAGGGAGGCTCTATGTCTGACTGTAAAATTTCTTTACGGTTAATAATATTTTTACGTTTCATTCGGAAGGTTTCGTATTTTCTCAAATGGCTGCTGCGTGTCTCTGATGTAATTATTTTTACAATGCTAAAATAAAACAAAAATACAATGTTTTAAATTTTTTAATTTATTTATTGTTACATTCCGCATCTACCCGAGCGGGTCATTAGCGGCTTTAGATGTAATCGAATTAGGTGGACAAATTTAATGTCTTTTATAAATTCGAATACTTTTTGTATCTTTTCTTCGTCATCTGAAAGTGCGTCAGATATGTTGGAAGGTATATTATGTTTTGTTCTGGTGTCAGAGTATAGTCTGCAAGTTGTTACAATGTGTTTCAGTGTAAGTGATGTGTTGCATGTTTTACAAAATGGTGGTTTCAGGCCTCTCATTAGGTAGCCATGGGTAAATGGTGCATGTCCAATGCTAAGCCGAGTTAAAATTATTTCTTCTTTTCTGTTCTTTCTGAAAGAGGTCGTCGACGGTTTGGTATCTTTTTTAATTTCTTGCAATTTATTCGTATATGGGTTCCACTTGAATTGCTATTTTCCATTTATCATTTTTTTTGCATTCCAATCTCCAGTCAGCAGTGGTCGTTAAATTGTTCATTGTGGTTCCATTATTTTTTCTTCTTGCCAGGTTTGCAGCTCTGTCTGCAGCTTCGTTCCCAGATATGCCACAATATGACGGTGCCCATGCGAGGACAATGTCTCTGTCCGGCGACTCCTTCATTTCTCAGAGGTAGTTTTTGATTTTCCTGGAAATGGCATTGTCGGCTTTCCCTTCGGCAATAGCCATTAATGAGCTTAATGTTTTTTTCTGTTAGTAATAATAAGGACTGATATTTAGCGAATACTTCACCTGTGAAGACGCTATTTATTTGGAGCAAATTGAATTTGAGGCACTGGTCTTTCAGTCTTACTGCACATCCTACATCACTATCTGTTTTTGACGCATCTGTATAAAGGGTTGTGTGTCCGAGGTATTTGTGTTTCATTTCTGTAAATAAGTGTTTTTTGACGAATTGGTCGTCGTCAGTTTGTATTTTCCTAGAAAGAGACGTATCTGTTTTTATGAAAGAGTTATTCCATTGGTAGAATAAAGCGTCGTCTATTGTCATTAAATTGTCCAGTCTGAAGTCTAATTGTAAAAGTAGTTTGTGGGTTCTCTCCGTAATGCCAGTTGAGTAGTACACTTGGTTGGTGTTGACCACATCCCAAGAAAACGTATACTTTCTACGAATGGTAAAATTTCTCCTTTCAGTGATAATGATTGATTAGTACAGTATCTTTTCCGGGAGAAATGGACACACATGGCTTTGATCGTTGAAAAATTGAAACCTGTAGTTTTAGTCCATTACTCTATTGATTCTAAGATGTTTTTTATTTTCCATTCAATGAATTTTATATATTTGCTTCTGTTGATTATTGTGAAGTCATCTGCAAACAACGTACAAATTGCTGGTTTGTGGACATTCTTTACAATATCGTTTATTGCTATTGTAAAAATAGTTGCGCTTAAAACTGATCCTTGGGGTACCTCGTTTTCTTGGATGAATTTTATTTAAATTTTTTGAACTATGCACCGGAGCTAACACGCAATATCGCAAGAAATTCTACGAACGTGAAGATATACATATATACAAATATTTCTCCAACGTTCACTCGAAAATGTTCTAAAGCTCTGCCTAAAGTGCATACAGAGATATTTCAATGAGTTAATTATCCTCACTCTAAACTCTGCCAGCATTCAATACAGATCTCAGATTAAATTTTTATTTAAATTTAAATTTTTTTTCCTCCACTTGGACAAACGTCTAGTTTGGAATCCTCATACATGACTGAAACGATAAGAAACTGCTTTAAACTTCTATCTACTTCAGCACTAATTAAATAACTGCTCCAAATTTTCAAATAATTACGAAATATTCGTAACTATAATAAAACCTATTTGGACTTACAGACTTGACCTTTGGGGTGCCACTAAACCATATCATTGCTATCGTTTCCAATCATTACAATCCTTCGAAAAATCCTTTACCTGTACCACTACAACCCATTAAGGGTCTGGGGCTCAGTACTATTTAGAGAAAGCACTGTTTCTAGGTCAACGGTTGTGCAAGGAGGTGATTTGACCGAGATCACGCTCAACCGCCAGGTTTTCCCCCTTAATTAATTATTTAATTAAAGGTACCCACTTTATAGAGGCTGGGTGTGCCTCAGGAGGGTCTCCACGGCCAATGAAACAGATAAATAAGTTTTCTGCCATAAGCCGGGGTTCGAACCTGGGACCTTTGCATTGGAAGCTCAGTGCCCTACCACTGAGCTACCCCACTCCATATATACTCCATATACTGTACCTTAATTATTTTTATAATGATAATAATTTTTTATTTTGCAGATTCCACCTTTATTCTTATCACACTGATACATTTGCGTAATGATGAGAATAAATTATTTATTTATTATTAAATTATAATAAATTCCAATCAACGACTCATTTTTGTTAATTTATTCTGACCATTAGGCAAATGTATTAGTGTAATAATAATTAACTGAAAGACTGTTGCGAGACCCTTGCGCAAGATCAAGACGAGTCTTCGTCTCGCAATTGGGCAATACTACATACTGCTGTCAGTCCCTGATGAATTCGAAATAATTTTAATTGGATTACATTAATTTTATTAAAATGGATTAATAGTTGACTGAGGATTATTTAATAATAAGCCATATAATAAATAAATATAATTTATTTATTTTTACCTTGTGACTGCACACCCCAACCAACTCATCTACAATACATTAGTTTTAATAGGATGGAAATGTTCATACTATATTTATTTAATGAATGTTATATTTTAAATTCATATTAACGCTGTGAAGAGTTTTTTTTTATTTGTTTATTTAGAAATATTACATTCTGTCACATCAAGGACATTTATAATAGTGTTCAGAGAAAGCACACTCACACTCTATTTACAATAAAAAAAAAAAAAAATAAAAAATAAAATAATACAGAAACTTAATAATAATAAATACAATGAATAAAATAAAAATAAATACAATAAAATAAAATAAATGTATATAAACAAAAGAACTAACCTAATCATACACACTCGGGCTTGAGTGGAGGATCTGGCCATTGCCAAAACTCCAATAGGTGCTTATTTACAAAAGGTCTCTGGGCCACTGCCGCTTCAACCTTCGAGGAGGATTGTAAGGATGGGTGGTGCTGGATAGAGATTGTGCAAGGGGATTTGGATGATAGGTAAGGTTCTGGTGAAATTTGGAGAATTTTTCTGGAATAAGGTCTAGGACAAATGGGATATTAAGGTCATGGTGTAGGATTTTGTTATTTACATAGAACGGAGCATCAACTATTGTTCGAAGGACTTTAGATTGAAAGGATTGAATACGTTTGATGTTTAACGTTTAATGTTTAACGTTTGATGTTTGATGTTTAATTGTGAAGAGTTATGTTAGATATTTATTGTTGAGAACAAATATGTATATATATATTTATATATACAAATATATATATATATATATATATATATATATATATATATATATATATATATATATATATAATAAAAATAAGTAACTACAATTATAACAATTTGGTAAATAAGTTTTTTCTCTTCCTTTCCTACTGATTCAAATAGCGCATAAAGAAAATAATACTAAACTTAAGATATGTGATTGCCTTCATGCTTTTGTTAGGTATTTAATTACGTCTTTCTCTCTACTTGGGCAATCTAGTAAATCAATGCTCGTCAAGATATAATTTAGATAGTATCCTTCGACGGTTCTTACCATTTCCATTTATTTTTTAGTTAATGAGAAGGCTTAATATTGAAAGATATGTATTGAATGCTGGCAGAGTTTAGAGTGAGGATAATTAACTCATTGAAATATCTCCGTATGCACTTAAGGCAGAGCTTTAGAACATTTTCTAGTGAATGTTGGAGAAATAATTGTATATATGTATATTTTCACGTTCGTAGAATTTCTTGCGATATTGCGTGTTAGCTCCGGCACATAGTTAACCTAATGAATTATTATCCCATTTGATGGATTCTTGTTGCGGGGCAGTCACTGTAAGCGTCGACGGATCCTGGGCATAGTTGTTTTGTGGTCTGTGATCTATCGTCAGCCATAGAGGACATATCACATCCTAGAGCACATTTGTCCACTTCACAGTTTGATAGGTCGCTCTCACAAATGTGTACCGCCGATACGAATTACATATTGATAGGCCCTCCTCACAAACGCCTATCTAAATCACAAATTCCGTCAGCTGTTGTCGCCTACATTAAGCTACTGTTATCTTATACAGTCAGTCACAGATCACATCTCCGCAGCCGTCGACAAATCGGCGGAAGGAGTTCACTTTTCATCGCCAGATACCATCGTTTCATTATCGCGTCTCGTGGAAGAGAAAAAAAAAAAAAAAAACCGAATTTGAAGAGGAAAAAAAAACTGTTCCAAGTATGCGGTGGTAGCAGGTAATATGGAAATGAATGGTGATGATGATATGGTGCGGTGCTGCTGTATCTGCTTCTAGTGCAGCCTTCATCAGGTAGCTCGTCTGAACCGTGACTTGATCAGTTTTTTACTAGTTACGCGGTAGCTTGTGGTAGGAATGTGATGTAAGGGTATAGAATCTTTAGGAAGATCTACAAATGAAAAACAGATAAGTAGCCAAAATATGCAGAAAAAAACCTGGTGTGTTCGGTCCATTATTACCATCTCCCATTTCTCCTTTAATTAATTATCAAACTATTTAATTATTTCCAATAAATAAAATCAAAGGTATTTTAGAGAATGAAATTTTTGTTACTAAATCAAACGATTTAAAAATGACAATTTTTAAGGAGGGTATCTAAACAGCTTGGATAATAACAATGCATCTATTTGGCGAATACCAAAACGCTTGTTGAATCATCAAGAGACATCGCATCCAATTCGATATCCTGATGGCTCGTGGGCAAAGTCAGATGCTCAGAAAGCTGAATTATTCGCATGCCACTTATATATATTTACCCCTCACAGTGATTTGCAAGATTCGCGTAGTGCAAAATTGATAGAACATCAATTAGATATTCCTTTAGAGATGACCCCCCCACCTAAACCTTTTCAACCAAATGAAGTTAGCGTTATTATCAATAGTTTACCAAATCGAAAATCTCCAGGGTTCGATCTCATTACTAACTTTATTCTAAAGAATTTACCAAAAAAGGCCATTATATTCTTAACAAAAATATTCAATTCCATTCTTAGAACGACACATTTTCCGATTTTATGGAAATACTCAATCATAACTATGATTCACAAACCCAATAAGCCTATAGACCGCCCTGATTCTTATCGCCCAATTAGTCTTCTACCTTCTC